CCTCAATGCATCAGCCAAAAAAAAGGTCTATTACAAGTGAGAGGTAAATAATTACAATTTTAATAGTTCTTTCAGACATTGTTTAGTAAAGTACAGAAAGGGTTCAATAACAATTGAAAGCATTGAGAATTTGTTTTTCAGAAGGAAAATTATAAGCGGTTCGTTATTTTGGATGAGGTTAGAAAGATCAAGTGACAATCAGGGAACAGTGAATGAGAAGGTTCTGGAAAGAGATTTTCCATGATGGTACCATGATGATTACTGATAAAATTTAGTCTTCTGGCAGCCTGGGGCAGGAAGATAAACAAAGGTATGCTTTTGGATCTTGTTGAAAATCAGCATTTTTTATTGCACACAATGAAAATCTAGCCAGAAAAGTGTTCCCACAGTTCAGCGTACAAATGACCTGGATGTAAAGGAATAGTTCACCCAAAAAATAAAAATGTCCTCATGTAGTTTTAAACCTTTTTGGCTTTATTTCTTCTTTTGAACACAAAATTACATTTCTGAGAGCATTTACTCACCCCTCACCTCTACGTTTCTTTCTTCTGTTGAGCACAAAACAAGTCAATGTAAAAAATGCTGGTTGATGGTAACCATTGAGATCTACATACAGTTGAAGTCAGAATTATTAGCCCCCCTGTGTATTTTCCCCCGTCCCCCGATTGACTAAGAAAATATATTTTTTTCAGCACATTTCTAAACATAATAGTTTTAATAACTCATTTCTGAAAACTGATTTCTTTTATCTTTGCCAAGTGTCATTTTTCAAGACACTTCTATACAGCTTAAAGTGACATTTATAAGCTTAACTAGGTTAATTAGCTTAACTAGGCAGGTTAAGGTAATTATTTTATAACGATGGTTTGTTCTGTAGAAGAAAAACAAAATAGCTTAAAGAGGCTAATATTTTTTACCTTAAAATGGTGTTTAAAAATTAAAAAAACAGCTTTTATTCAAGCCAAAACAAAACAAAGAAAATAAAAAAATAAAAAAAATTCAAAGGGGGGCTAATAATTCAACTTCAACTGTATATACTATATAGGAAAAAATACTATGGAGGTCAGAGGTTACCATTAACCACTATTGTTCACACTGACTTGATAATATTAAAGACTAATATTAGAGCACAAATGCCTTTTTTATTTATAATTAAAGCTGCAAGAATTGTTGAAAGGGTTCATCGCCACCCAGTGGCCTTAAAATAACAGTGAACAGGGGGCAATATTCATTTAAGGGAATGGTTTAACCAAAAAAAAAAAAAAAAAAAATTATATATATATATATATATATATATATATATATATATATGCCATCATTTACTCATCAAACTAAGATAAAGACATGAACAGAAAGAAAGATTTACTAAAGAATGTAGGGTAAAAAACATCCATAATATAATAACATTCTTCACAAAATCTTTCTGTTTTCTGTTCAACTGAAGAAGGAAAGTCATAAAAGTTTAGATTCAGTTGAGTGAGTAAATGATGAAGGAATTTTTTATTTTGGGATGAACTATCACTTTAAATAGTAGAGAGAACGGTACACTCTCAGAAAAAAAGGTACACAGTGGTACAAATAATGCTCCTTAAGGAACAGTTTTGTACCTTTGAAAAATTTGTACCTTATTTGGTACAGAAAAGACCTCTTATGATTCTGTTCTGTACTTTTTATGGTACAACTGAAATGAAGGTACACAATTGTTCTTATAAAGAAGGTACATAAGTGTTGGACAACTCCTTTATTACAATATCTAATAAAATAAATATGACTGAAAAGATCTCCCTGTGTTCACTTGGGTTTCCACCGGGTGCTCCGGTTTCCCACACAGTCCAAAGACATGGTACAGGTGAATTGGGTAGGCTAAATTGTCCGTAGTGTATGAGTGTGTGTGTGTGTGTGGATGTTTCCCAGAGATGGGTTGCGGCTGGAAGGGCATCCGCTGCGTAAAAATGTGCTGGATAAGTTGACGGTTCATTCCGCTGTGGCATAAAGGCATTTTTAATAAACATTTTAGTAAGCATTTTCCGATAATTACATTTTCATTATTGATATCCGCACCTTTTGGCGTTTGCTTTCCTATATGCATGTGAGCTGGCAAAAGTCCTGCATATGCAAAGTTTTCATGCAGACATTTTAGTATTGTAAAACAAATCAAACATTGTGCATATCTCATTACAGTACTTTTGCATAATTATGTTTTGATTTTAAAATTAAATAAATTCAATGAACTTTTAAGTGATTACAAAGGTATTGGAGAAAACAAAAGGAGAAAAGGGTGTTTTATATTGAACATGGGAGAATGTGTTTCTGTAACATTTTTGTGAAAGGTGTTGTGAAATGTTTAGCTAAAAAGATTTTTTAGATTATTTATTGTAAATAGAAAAGGTGTGTTTACACACAAAGAAACTTTAAAAAAAATTGATGTTTTATATTTACTGAAAATAAATTGATGCATTTTGGATAAAGGAAAATGTATCTGTAGTTTTTAAAAACCAAAGGTACATTTTGGTTCCCCATGATACAAATCATGTCCTTAAAGGTATAAAGTGCAATGGAACAAATTAGTTTCTTTGTCTTAAGGCACAATTCTGTTCCATTAAAAGGTCCTGCCCCATTGACAAGGGTTTGTTTTTACCTTCTTTGGTACAACATTGTACCATTTCTTCTGAGAGTGTAGAATATAAGAATATGTATAAAATAATTGCCAGTAGGTGACGCTATGGCTATAACTGAATATTGTAGATATAGTTACATGTAGATCTGATAAGATCAGTTATTTTTGTTGTTGAATAGGGTATTTTTGTTTGTTGGTGTTTTAAAAAATGTTGCTGCATATTTTTCTGAAAACTTTTCCTGGAAATTAAAAGATTGGCAAGCGGCAGGTTTTGAAAGCATATTTGATCCAAATGAAAAATTGCCCTCATTTACTCTCCCTTCACTTTACAACTATGGAAGTCAATGATTACATGTATTTTACTTACTTTGAAATATATTATTTTGTGTTCAACAGAATAAAGAAACTGATACAACCACTTAAGGGAGAGTAAAAAGTGAGTAATTTTTGTATTTTTTTGGGGTGAACTATCCCATTAAAAAGTTTTGTTTCCGCTATGCTGTTGTCTAGTGAACGATGTAGATAAACGTATTGCTGTTCAATATGAAATGGTTGAGCACTTTTTATGTCATCTCTGTTCTTTAAAAATTAATGAAGCCTATAAGCATGTTTTTATTTCTCTTTTTTTATAAAAACAAATAATAAACATGTTTTTAAAATTACAGTATTTTTTATCTTTCATTAAAGCTACTTTTACTTCTGATAAATTTAATGTGTTCTGAATGAATTAAAGTATTTCAGAAGGGGATTTTTAAGGGTTCTACATCACAGTTTCCACAAAAAAATTTTCAACAAAGATTATAATATTAAGCAACGGTTCATGATTATCAATTCAATACACAGATTCTAATCATTGGGTCACCTAAATGAATAAAACAAAACCATTAAACTTGGATTGTAAACATTTTATTTTAATTGTTAATATTTGAAAAAAATCTGTCTCAGTGCAAGCTGTAGATTGAAGGGTATCAGCACACCAACTGGACTCAATGTCATCCGGAGCTTCCAGGGTGTCTGTTCTCCTACCTGACTAAATGCTGACCTAAGCTTCCAGGGCCGGAGGTTCCAGGGCCTCAGACAGACTCAGTGCAAACCAGAGCTTCAGAGGGGTCAGCACTCCAGTCAAACTCATTCTGGGCTGGAGCTTCTGGGGCACCAGCAATCCAGCTTCAGGGACCTTAGCAGTTCAGGCAGACTTGATGCAGACCAGAGCTACAGAGGCACCAGGAACACAATCAGTCACCCATGCAGCCTGGACCTTCATGGACCTCAGAAGCATCAGGAACACAGCCAGACACCATGCAGACTGGACCTTCATGGACCTCAGAAGCATCAGGAACACAGCCAGACAGCATGCAGATTGAACCTTTATTGGCCTCAGAGGAATCAGGAACACAGCCAAACACCATGCAGACTGTACAAAAACGTTTTGTTAATTTTTGACAGTATTGTACAGGATATAAATAACCTTGTTTTTATTTATTACTCTAGCTTACTTCTTATATCACATATTTGTTCCCAGTTTAAGAATACATTGTGCTAATTTGTACCGATTTAAACCAGCACTGCAGCACACCCCTACATTCTTAAAAGCGTAGTTTACACGATTTGAAATCTACACATCTGTTGACACCTACTGGATCTATTGGACTTTGACAAACTTTTCAGTATCTTATTGTTAACACTATATATGTAAATATACATACATGTCTGTTTTTGCAAATCTTAATATACATATAGCTTTCTAAACAATCTTTCATTGGGATCTTGTTTGCTACATTTATTAAGTTATTTCCAATAATAAAAGATTGTCTAATGCTTTGCTACATTAAAAATACAGGTTTACTGGACATTAAATGTAGGTTTGAACATTTCTATTATTTTAATGAAAGCAGTAAAGACAAAGAAACTGCTGTAATCAGGTATAAAATAAGTTTTATTGTTTATTTTGTTTAACATGATTGAACAACATATCAATAAGCTACATGTCTGTCACCCCCTACTGGACATTTTTACATCTAAGACTTTTACAACCCTCTGATTTTCTTCTGACACTTTTTTCCCGCTGCTCTTGTGATTATTTTAAACCGTGCATCTGTTCTTCTCAAAGTGCTCTAAAAACTTCTCATTTGTCTACAGTACACTAGCTGGTGTGTGTGTTTTGCTCCTGCAGCTTCAAAGAGAGCCTCACAGACGCAGCAGAGGAAGTTCAGGATCAGGATCTGCTCTCCTCAGTTCCTCTGCCACTCCTGCTCTCCCTGCAAATCATTGACAGTATTTATCTACACTGATCCTGACAATGCAATTCAAGCCATGACTGCTGCTTTAAGATGAGTGCAATGTCACTGGCCACCTGTTCAGTGCAACCAGGGATGGCGCTCAATATCATCTAAACTGGGCCGATCTGCTGGTGCTGCACTGAGACACCAGCGAATCAGGTGACGGCACTCTGTTACACACAACACCGTCTTCAGAAACACATAACAACACATTTCTGCTCACTCACACACATTGTCTTCATCTCTGAATGTGTTTGAATCTTTTACCTGTTGACAGCTTTCTAGGGAAGATCAGTCTGCTTTTGGACGTGACCCTTTGTGCGCCTCTGAAGGGGAAACGGTCACACAGGATGTTGTAGAGGGTCACTCCTACTGACCAGACTGTAGCTGGCGTCGCATTATAGCGATGTCTGCGGAACCACTCTGGAGGAGCGTATGCAGGAGTGCCTGAGAGACACAAGAGGAACAAAAAAATTCACTTAAAAAATACAGTCCAGTACAGACAATTACCCTTAGTCAATCATCACAAACATCCACAGAGCGTTTCCTTCTGTAACACAAACCCACCAGCAAAGTATTTGTAGGCTGAGTGCTTCAGCAGATCTCCACAGCCAAAGTCCAGCAGCTTGATGTCCTGGGACTCTGTGGAGATCAGCAGGTTCTCTGGCTTAACATCCCGGTGCAGGACGCAGCGGCTCTCGCAGTGTTTCAGCGCCGCGATCAGCTGCACCAGCACTTTCTTGGCCAGACGCTCGTCCAGACAGCCGTTCTCCTCACAGAAGCTCTGCAGATCTTGGCAAGGAGTTGGACGCTCCAGGATCAGGACGTAGCGTCTGGGACGGTCAAACCAGTCCAGCAGCTGCAGGACACTGGGGCAGGCAGGAGCTGAAGTGACGCGGATCATCAATGCCACCTCCAGCGGCAGACGACCCTGACCGTCCTGAAGGACAAACTCTCCATTATATCCAGGACTGAATGAAAGACTTCAAACACAACAGATTCACTCTGGAGCTTACAACTTTCAGTCTGGTGTGCGTCCGGTCCTTAGACACGTACTTGATGGCCACCTGCAGACAGAAGAAGCACAGTAAATCACACCTGCCTGATTTACTGACAGCAACATTTCTAAAGCATGTCTGAATGAAGGAGGGAAGAAAATGTCTTACTGGCAGTCCATCAGACCTGCGGATCCCAGCAAACACAGAGCCGAATCCACCTCGTCCCAGCAACGGGCCCTTCGCATACACATCTGCAACACAGAAGAGCACAAGAAAACAAGAATATAGAGACAGATCATTTCATAACTGAGCCATAACATCTGGAAGAGGAGCGTGTGCTGACCTCTGCGAGAGCGTTTGGCTGGTGGTCTCCTGGACGAGGTGGAAGCCGTTTGCTGGCTGCTCCTCCTCTTCCTCTTCCTCTGGTCAGTGGACACAGAGTCCGCCAATTGGGAAGACAGAGGAGCCAGATAACCAGGAAGCTCAGTGGTGCCATCACGTGTGTCTGCTTCCAAAGCTGCTGTCTGGGTGAAAGCAACACTCCTGGATCTGGAGCGGCCTGAAGCTAAAATATAAACAACACACACAAACTCTGATTATCGATCATTAATAAACAGCAACCAATCTCACTAGTCTCATCATGTTACTTCATTTTTAACAACTGTCAGTCAGGACTCCCAGTAGATTTAAGGAATAGTTTAAAGGATTAATATAGCATAATCATTTTCATATTATTTAGCCAAACATACAGCATCATACAATGACATATTGCACCAATAACAAACAACTAAACAATTAAAAACACTCACCTCGTCTTTCACCCATGTGGGCCTTTGACATCCTTCTCCAACCTGTAATGAGATAAAAAAATACAGAAAGCAAGAGTATGAAAATAAAACTGAAATAAAAAATAAAAAGGTAAAATAAGAACACAACGAAGAGTAAATGAAGAAAGAACAATAAAACAAATGTGTTTAAAGAAATAATCAAAATTCTTGCAAGAAAATAATAATAAAGAAAATATCCGCCAATCTCCTTCTGGAATAAAAGTCTCCTGTCAGAAATACTCCTGGCTACTTGAAGAATCACAGAATTGCACAGAAATCTGCTCCAAAAGTCTCTGAATTCGCCTTGTCCTCCAACAGATAGCGATGAGCGTTTTACGTGTTTATATCTATTGTCAAATCATAACCTTATCATAACACGCGTTGCTATAGCAACTCAATTTTAAAAATCGCTCATTTTGACCCCTGACCTTGCACACAACAAGCATAAATCTATATCATATGCATCAGTATTTATTAAAATTTCTGTAGAATTATATATTTTTTTAATTTCCAATAAGGATTTAATCAGTGTCAATCCCAGACATGCTCAATCAATACCAGGTCACCATGCTGATCACAAACGAAATTCTTAAAATCATATTTAATTTTATTATTATTATTATTATTATTATTATTATTATTATTATTATTATTATTATTATTATTATTATTATTATTTATATAGTTATTTTTATTTGACAGCTATATTTGGTTTCCCCATTATTATGCGAGGCGCATATTTACAGTGACGTCAATATCGTATGATCTTTTGTAATGTCCTCATGCTTTTTAAAAATTTATTTTATACTTTTTTTATTCTCTATTTGATTTGGTTCTTTGATATTAAAGAAAAAAAACTTAAGTACTGTATTCCTCTTTTTTGTATGCTATTCTTCTTGTTATATAAATAAAAACGTTAATAATTGCTTTAGCTGAATCATAAAGATTTAACAAAGATTTAACATAATAACCTAAATGTGTTACTCAGAAACCTAATATCGCTCTGAAAGCAGCTTATCATGCCTGAAATCACATGAATGAAGCGCGTTTATAACGTCACGTAACGAGGAGCATCATCATCATCATCGTACGCCTTCATTATGGTAAGGCTACATTTAATCAAAGAGCTTAGAATGACCTTATATGCTCTTTGGTTTAATTTATAGATGAGCTGATTTGTTTGTTTAGTCCTGTTTTTATACACATATTGTACACGCGATTTTATGTGATTTTGGACAAATGTAAAGATTTCTCTTTCAAACAAACAATGACGTGCGATAAAATATTTCAGAAAGCAATGTGATGGCCACTTCACTATTACACTGCTTACAATATGTTGAGTAATTTAATGTAAATATTTAATTTTATAATCGAGCGAACAAATGTGATATATTCCTCTTTTTTGGCTAATTCAGCAGATAATCCTTACAAATTGTTTAGGTCGGAAAGAAAAGTTTGGATGCACGCAAGGACACGCCATCACAATTTTAGTTGCTATAGCAACGCGTGTTATGATATGAATTCTGACTGTATTTATAAACGATCGACCCTTTCGTAATCTGTTGGTTGACACGAGGCGACTTTTGCAGAGCATTACTGTGTGGATCCTGAGATTTCTGAGAAAAGACTTTCATTTTAAAGAGCACATTTTACTTCATTATTTTATTGTCTTGCAAGAGATCGGATTATTTCTTTAAACATTTATTTTGACATTTTCCAATTCCACTTCGTTTTGTTCTTAATTTTTTGTTTCTTTTTCTTTTTACTTTTAGTTCTAAACTTTTTATTTTCATACTCTTGTTTTCTGTATTTTCTTGTCTCATTACAGGTTGAAGAAGGATGTCAAAGGCCCACATGGGTGAAAGACGAGGTGAGTGTTTTTAATTGTTCAGTTGTTTGTTATTGGTGCAATATGTCATTGTATGATGCTGTGTGTTTGGCTAAATAATATGAAAATGATTATGCTATATTAATCCTTAAAACAATCCCTAAATCTACTGGAATTCCTGACTGACAGTTGTTAAAAATTAAGTAACATGATGAGACTAGTGAGATTGAGTGCTGTTTATTAATGATCGATAATCAGAGTTTGTGTGTGTTGTTTATATTTTAGCCTCAGGCCGCTCCAGATCCAGGAGTGTTGCTTTCACCCAGACATCAGCTCTGGACGCAGACACACGTGATGACACCACTGAGCTTCCTGGTTATCTGGCTCCTCTGTCTTCCCAGTTGGTGGATTCTGTGTCCACTGACCAGAGGAAGAGGAAAAGGAGGAGCAGCCAGCAAACGGCGTCCACCTCGTCCAGAAGACCACCAGCCAAACGCTCTCGCAGAGGTCAGCACACGCTCCACTTCCAGATGTTATGGCTCAGTTATGAAATGATCTGTCTCTATTCTTGTTTTCTTGTGCTCTTCTGTGTTGCAGATGTGTATGCGAAGGGCCCGTTGCTGGGACGAGGTGGATTCGGCACTGTGTTTGCTGGGATCCGCAGGTCTGATGGACTGCCAGTAAGACATTTTTTTCCCTCCTTCATTCAGACATGGTTTAGAAATGTTGCTGTCAGTAAATCAGGCAGGTGTGATTTACTGTGCTTCTTCTGTCTGCAGGTGGCCATCAAGTACGTGTCTAAGGACCGGACGCACACCAGACTGAAAGTTGTAAGTTCCAGAGTGAATCTGTTGTGTTTTACGTCTTTCATTCAGTCCTGCATATAATGAAGTGTTTGTCCTTCAGGATGGTCAGGGTCGTCTGCCGCTGGAGGTGGCATTGATGATCCGCGTCACTTCAGCTCCTGCCTGCCCCAGTGTCCTGCAGCTGCTGGACTGGTTTGACCGTCCCAGACGCTACGTCCTGATCCTGGAGCGTCCGGCTCCTTGCCAAGATCTGCAGAGCTTCTGTGAGGAGAACGGCTGTCTGGACGAGCGTCTGGCTAAGAAAGTGCTGGTGCAGCTGATCGCGGCGCTGAAACACTGCGAGAGCCGCAGCGTCCTGCACCGGGACGTCAAGCCAGAGAACCTGCTGATCTCCACAGAGTCCCAGGACATCAAGCTGCTGGACTTTGGCTGTGGAGATCTGCTGAAGCGCTCAGCCTACAAATACTTTGCTGGTGGGTTTGTGTTACAGAAGGAAACGCTCTGTGGATGTTTGTGATGATCGACTAAGGGTAATTGTCTGTACTGGACTGTATTCTTTAAGTGAATGTTTTTGTTCCTCTTGTGTCTCTCAGGCACTCCTGCATACGCTCCTCCAGAGTGGTTCCGCAGACATCGCTATAATGCGACGCCAGCTACAGTCTGGTCAGTAGGAGTGACCCTTTACAACATCCTGTGTGACCGTTTCCCCTTCAGAGGCGCACAGAAGGTCACGTCCAAAAGCAGACTGATCTTCCCTAGAAAGCTGTCAACAGGTAAGAGATTCAGACACATTCAGAGATGGAGACAATGTGTGTGAGTGAGCAGAAGTGTGTTGTTATGTGTTTCTGAAGACGGTGTTGTGTGTAACAGAGTGCCGTCACCTAATTCGCTGGTGTCTCAGTGCAGCACCAGCAGATCGGCCCAGTTTAGATGATATTGAGCGCCATCCCTGGTTGCACTGAACAGGTGGCCAGTGACATTACACTTAACTTAAAGCTGCAGTCATGGCTTGAATTGCATTGTCAGGATCAGTGTAGATAAATGCTGTCAATGATTTGCAGGGAGAGCAGGAGTGGCAGAGGAACTGAGGAGAGCAGATCCTGATCCTGAACTTCCTCTGCTGCGTCTGTGAGGCTCTCTGTGAAGTTGCAGGAACTACAAAAACACATTACCAGGCTACAGCAGGCAAATGTGGAGTTTCCAGACCACTTAGACAAAAACAGGGGGCACAGACTAAATAATCAGAACAGCAGCAGTAAATGTAAAGCAATAAAAGTTATTTTATACCCAACTACAGTTTCTTTATCCTTACTGGTTTGATTAAAATATAAACATTCAAACTACTCTAACATTTAAGGCCCAGTAAACTGTATTTTTAAAGCAGCTAAGTATAGCATCAGCCAGTGTGTTATTATTGGAAATTATTTAAAACAAGAAGAAAACTCCTAATACCAGAGATGCATCTGAAAGGTATACTTATTTTAAGATTTACAAAAACAGAAATATAAGTATATTTACATATTTGAATATGCCAAACTACCCACATTAAAGTTACACAATGAACTGCAAACAAATGTATTTATTTGAATTTTATAATTTATTTACATTTACAGTCATTCACTTAAGTTTTGCTGTTAGGATGAGCCTTAATGCTTATATTATACTGCACTATATTTGGTTTTCCAAGCCACATACTGTAAAGACATTGAATAAAACCTGGTCTTGGTACTAAATTAAACCTTAAATATTTTAAACAGACATAGTGGGTATGTAAGGATCTTTAAGTTTTTTTTAGATTCGCCAATGAGATCTGTAGTCTATATCAGTGGTTCTAAAACTGTAGTACGTGTACCACTAGTGGTACGCGGGTTGCCTTCTAGTGGTACACAGAATAATCCAATATGTCATATGTACATGCAACATATATTTTTAAACTTATCAAAAATGGTTTATATATGAATATGTAGAAATATAGCCTATATTTATAAGGGCCTAGCAACATTTCCGTTTTGATGAATAGGATACTACAGATTAACCCTTTACATTTAAGTACAGCATTTTTTTTTTACTTTTTAAGAACAGTACCTACCATTTTTTTACTTTAACAAGCTCATTTTAATTTAAACGTTGACATTTTATTTTGTTTGTTTGTTTGTTTTTTCACATATAAGTACAGTACAGTGTTAATGTTTAAACTATTTATAATGTTTAAAGTGGCTGATAAAAATAAATACTCCTAATAATAGTAGTTAATCTGCCATGTTTTTAAACTGTGCAGAGCTGTAGCTGCTTTACTGGGCCTACTATGCTACTGTAATTCAATACTGCTCTTTATGGTGGTACTTGGAGGCATAGTTTTTTTCTGAGGTGGTACTTGAT